TGCCCACAACGCACTGGCTTGTGTAGTCCTACCACATGCTCAGAAGGAAGAGGACCAGAAACGTTGCAGAGCACTTGGGTACGATGGCATTTCGCAATCCACTCAGAAAATCACTCTAGCATCTGTCTGCCAGGCCTCTCACCCTGTCAAGTCCTGGAAAGTCAGATATCCAGAGTGATAGGAAATTGAGTGTCTCTGAGAATCATTGTTTAATCCACTCCCCAGTTTTACCCCTCCTGAGAGGCAGGGAGATGCCATGGAAGGAGCCCTGGACTGGGGTGAGGGACCCAGATTGGATTCTTGCCTTTGTTCCGATTCTGCTATGTGACCTTGGTCCAGTTTCTCCTTGAGTGAAATGGAGCCATTCAGTTAGCTTGTCTCTGGTACTCTGTGCAACCTTCAAAACATTCCCTCCTCACATCCTTCTAGCAACTTCCAACCCTGAGGTCTGACAGACCCAGGGTCACTTTGCATGGTTAATATCATGTCAATTTCATTGGCTGGTAAATCTAGTTTGAACCATTTAATACTTATTTTAGGCTTTACATATTGTTTTAAAAGGAAGGTGAGGGGCGTAACAAGAAGAAGCTCCTGTTACAATTTCCCGGAAGTGCCTGGATCTGGGATTCCTGCTTCACATTCTTCACTGTGTTAGCAAAGCAGGTGAGTGTAGGCTTTGAGGTGAGTCAGAGCAACCAGGGCCCATGTCCCAGACTTGCCACTTGCTAATTGTTTTCTCAGCCTCAGCTTCCTTACCTGTGGAGATAAGAATAGTATTTCCTCATGGGGTGATTTTGAGGATCCAGTGAAAGCTCTTAGCACAGAGCTTGGCACATGGTAAGCATTCAGTCAGTGGTAGCTGATATTATTACTATCATTACGTTCCCTTCCCCAAACAGATATTCTGTTTTTCTGCATGTTTAAAAAAAAGTTCACGAGAAGAGTCAACATGCTAGATGGGTTCTCCTTACCTCCTACCTATTGGCCCAGTGGCATTAGTGCAGGCAGGTGGCTGAAGCAGCTGCCCGGTGAGGTGACCTGAGGCCTGGGAGAGCAGAGCAAGGGAGTACTGAGTTCATTACCAGCAGACACACTGTGCTGGGGTGGGCCGGGGAGAGGCCCTGAGGCCCAGCCTCCTGGTCCCTTGCCATGTAGACACGTCGTGTGCTCCTTGCCCTTGGGCACGTCTCAGTCCCTGTCCAATTTAAAGTTCAAACTCTGCAACTATACAAGTTTGCACATTTGGCAGCTATGGGGCTTCAGAGACCCCAGGTGCCCTGTGCTTCTCCAGGAGGCCCTGGCTGGGTGAGGAGGGCACAGGAGAGACACTGGACAGAGAATCTGAAGGTCTCATTGCAGCCCTGCCCCTGGGACCTGAGGCTGGGGCGCTATGACCCCTGCCCTTGGCCTAGGCGTCCCAGGCTGTGAAATGGGGTGTCTCCTTCCAGGAGAGCTGTGGGGACCTGCACTCATGACAGGTTAAGGAAAGCAAATTGCTGTACAGGGTGAGACTCTGAGCCCTTGTGAGGGACCATGAAGTCAGGGGTTGAGCCAGGTGCATGAGTTTCTGCAGGTTCCCTTTTTCATTTCCCTATCCATGTCCTTCTCTTTCCTTCACAATAAAGAATGACAACTTGACACAGTTTAGGGACTAAAAAACAGCCTTAAATAATGCAGCAGCAGTTGCAGATTTTCCCATTATACTATGATTTGTCTTTTGGAATTTTTTTTTTCAAGGACACAGGTCAAAATAAATATTGGAAGATTGTCCCCACTTATTTTCCAGCTGCTTAGGAACCGGGCTGTCTTGCCACCCCGTGGTTGCCCACAAATGCATCCAAACAAGCTCATCACCACCCTCCCATCCCACCCCCTCCAACCTGATTCTCTCATCTTCCCTATAACTCAGGGTTTCTTTCAGGGTGGAGCGCTATCCACCCAAATAAGCCAGAAGCCCAGGCACCAGCGCACAGTCCCCCTCTCCCTCAGCCACCTCTGCGATCAGCTGAATGTCCCCAAGGTTTCTCAGCTCGGCCCTCTCTGCCTGACTGCCCACCTGGGTCAGGCCCCATGGGTGCCTGGGTTATGGCACCAGCTTCCACACTTACTGCCCTCAGCCCAGGGCCCTTCTCGTCTGTGCTCTACTCTGGAGCCACATGATCTTCCATTACTCAAAAATAATATTATTTTTAAGTTCAAAGTGATGTTCATTTTAGAAGTATTGGACAATATTGGAAAGAATAATTAAGGAAACAATATTTATCTGTAACCCCATCAGCCAAAGGAAACGACTATTAGTTTACATTTTGTCTTAATTTTCTAGAATTTTCTACATACATACTTATTCATATATCCATAAGAAAAATACCTTTAAAGAATTGGGATTATACTGAGTACAAAGTTATATATTCTGCCTTTTTCTATTAATTACAGTGTGAGAATTTCCCATCATCAAATATCCTTCAAAAAATAGGATTTCTAATGGCTGTGTCACAGTCTATCATTGGGCTCCACCAGGATTTATTTAAACATTCTGCTATGCTTGGACATTAGGATACTTACAATTTTTTGTTACCATAAATAACGCTGTGATTAATATCCATATATATATATATATACTTATACATAAATCTTTGCATCTCTAATAATTTTCTCAGACTAATTCCTAGAAGTAAAGGTGTTGAGTCAGAAGGTCTGAAGTTTGTTTTTTTTTTTTTTTTTTGCGGTACACAGGCCTCTCATTGTTGTGGCATCTCCCGTTGCGGTGCACAGGCTTCGGACGCGCAGGCTCAGCGGTCATGGCTCACGGGCCCAGCCGCTCCGCGGCATGTGGGATCTTCCCGGACCAGGGCACAAACCCGTGTCCCCTGCATCGGCAGGCGGACTCTCAACCACTGCACAACCAGGGAAGCCCAAGGTCTGAAGTTTTTAAGTCTCTTGATTCATACTCACAGCTTACTTGGCAGGAAGGTCATATTAACTTATTCCCACCCCCACCAGCAGTGTATGACATTACCTACTTCACTGCACTGTAGTTAACAATAGACATTAAAAACAATTCTTTGACAATTTCATGGGTGAAGAAAGGTATCTAATCAGTGACCTTTCTAAAAGTATCGATAAGTAATGATTGTAAACCCAAATGCCCACAGGATAAAGTCCTAACCCCTGTCCTGGCATCAAAGGCCTAGCAGAAGGTCTTATTGGCAGCGGTCACCCTGGCTTGGTCAGGCTGTGAGCTGCGGGGCTGTGCTTCCCTCCTCTGTGCCTCTGTTCTGACCAACCGAGGAAACAGGAAGAGGGACTGGAAGGGAACTGAGGGCTCAAGCAAGGAATGTGCTTACCTGCAGCCAGGCAGCAGGAGAGCTGGCCTGCTGCTTGAGACCAAGCTCAGCTCTCCCATCACATGGATGGTGACACTGAGGCCAGAGGGGGCAGGGAATGGAGATGCTCTCTGAATCTGAGTCTATTTCCTCTGTGTGTTCACTGAGCTCTCAGAGAGGAAAGCTGGGAAAAGGCTGAGCACCAGGAAGAGGTAGCTATGGCAGGGTCCTAGGGGGTGGGCTGAAGATAGGTGGTAGAGCAGAGTCTCCCCAAGGCCAGGCGAGGCCTGGATGCTGGGCAGGGAGGCCTCAGAAGCTACTGCTGCTAAAAGGGAGACAGGAGAATCCAGGCCCTAAGCCGCTTGGAGTGATTGGTATCCCGGTGGCTGGGCAGGTCTGGAAATCTTGGATGCTAGGGCTCGTCACTGCCTCTACTGTCACCTCCCAAGGCACTAGATCATGCCTGTCATCTGTGAGCTCCGTCTCAGCTCTGCTCAGATTTGGGAAGGACCCCAGGCTCTGCCATTGTCACCCCTACATCGATGTGTTTTCTATTTATTTAAGAAGTTTATTTATTTATTTATTTATTTATTTATTTATTTATTTTTAAGGGCCTGGGGTTGGGCCGGGCTGGACCTTTGGACAGAGTGGAATCCAATACTACCTGCTCTTACAGTAGCACTGAAAATAAAGCAGGAAGAGCACAGTGAGAGATGCAGAGTGGGAGGGGCTTCCTGGCAGAGGTGGCATTCAAGATGGGCCTTGAGATGGGGGCAGGGATAAGTTAGGAGCGTGGAATTAACAGATACACATTACTATATATAAAACAGAAAAACAAGAACCTCCTGTATATCACATGGGACTATATTTAAAAAATAAAAGATGGGGGCTTCCCTGGTGGTGCAGTGGTTAAGAGTCCACCTGCAGATGCAGGGGACGCGGGTTCGTGCCCTGGTCCTGGAAGATCCCACATGCCGCGGAGCGGCTGGGCCCGTGAGCCATGGCCGCTGAGCCTGCGCGTCCGGAGCCTGTGCTCCGCAATGGGAGAGGCCACAACAGTGAGAGGCCCGCGTACCGAAAAAAATAAAATAAAATAAAATATTAAATAAATAAATAAATAAAAGATGGGCCTTGAGGGTCAGGCAGTCCTTTTACGAGCATGCTGGGTGGAGGCTGCCTTGTGGAAAGAACCAGCAAGGGCACAGAGCTGGGCAGTGCTGGGCAACACTGAGGCTCACAGCCGGCTGGCGTGTGCAGCTGACAGGGGGGAGGCTGTGGGGCACAGGACGGGGAGGGGGTTTAGTCAGGGCCAGCTTGTGGGGTCCTCGAATGCCCCACTGAAGACCTCACAGTTCATCCTGAGAGCTCTGGGGAGCCTTCCAGGGGTTTCAGTCAGGAGAGTGACAGGATCACATGTACTTTTCAAAAAGATCCCTCTGGATGCCCCTTAGAGGAGAGGCTGGGAGGAACAAGACTGAAATCCTAAGGCCAGACAGGAGGCTGGTGTAAAGATGCAGGCAGTGATGCTGAGAGCGCCCCATGGCTCTGCCGGGGGGAGGAGCAGAGGGGTGATTGTGAGCTCCTCTGTGGCAGGATCAGTGGGACTTGGTGCTGCGTTTCTGGGCTGGAGATTCCAGACCCACAGCCCTCACTGTAGGCTAATGAAGGCCTGGCCTGCTAGCCTGCAGAGCCCCGGCCTCCCTCACCTGGAGTCCATCTCCTGTCCCACACCTTCCTGGCGGCCTCCGTCACTTCCTTGTTCCTCAGGCTGTAGATGACGGGGTTCAGCATGGACGTGACCACAGCATAGAGGACCGTGGAGGCCTCATCAGAGATGCGGGCCTCCTCGATCCTGGGTTTCAGGTACATGAAGATGACGGTGCCATAGAAAAGCAGCATCACAGCCAGGTGCGCCGAGCAGGTGGAGAAGGCTTTGTGGCGTCCAGCGGTCGAGGGCACCCTCAGGATGGTGGCCAGGGTAAGCATGTAGGACAGGCAGATGAACGCCAGGGGCACGGGCAGCAGCAGGATGGCACCCACCCACAGGAAGACCTCGTTGACTGACGTATCACCGCACGCCAGCTTCAGCACTGCCAGGATTTCGCAGGTGAAGTGACTGACCACACGGTGGCCACAGAAGGGCAGCCTCATGGCGATGACTGTCTGAGTCACTGACTTGAAGAAACAGAGTACCCAGGTGGCTCCCGCCAGCAGCAAGCAGAGCCGGTGGCTCATCAGCACCTGAGTGGCCGGCAGTTGGCCAGGTAGTGATCATAGGCCATGATGGCGAGCAGCAGACACTCTGTGGAGCCTATGGACAGGCTCAGACACATCTGCATTGCGCAGCCAAGAAAGGAGATGGTCTTCTGGGCCGACAGGAGGTGGACCAGCAGCAGGGGCACAAAGGTGGACTGTAGCAGGTATCCAGGATGGAGAGGTTGCCCAGGAAGAAGTACATGGGCGTGTGCAGGTGGACGTCCAGCTCACTGCCACGATGGCTGTATTCCCCAGCAGGGTCACCAGGTACGTGGCTGAGCACAGAGGGCAGAGCAGGTGCTCCAAGGCTGGGTAGCCCGAAAACCCTTTCAGAAAGAACTCAGAGACCTCTGTCCTGTTGACTAGCTCCATACTGCAGGGCCCTGGAGGGCACAGCTGGGAGGCAGGGAAAGAGGGTGCAGGGGGGCAGGGAGCCCACAG